GAGCTGTCTGGAAATATTGTCCCAGCATGCACTGGCCAAGAGGCCGGCTTCCTCCTGGATACGAGCCACATCCATAACAACTCACTGAACAAGTAAATATGGATGCACTTAACAGCCTAATTCCCCATCTGTCCATCAATGATTTAACATTACAATAATCAAAGAATAAGACAAACACTCTTTATGACATTTAAAAGGCAGTGAGATCTTCCTCAGAGAGGGCCACGTAGGATCATGGGAAAAGACTAAAGGCCAAACAGACAAAACTGAACATAAATGTTACGCATTATTAGAACACTGTTATTCTCAATGACACAAATGATATTTTAAATGTCAGGAGTATGCCTGTAAACCCTGCGAAGCCCTTTATGTTGGAGAGCAGCCATGTGTTGGATCACTATAAAGATACTGTTGTATTCATATTAAATGTGTATGCTTTTGTGTACAATAGTCAAATAGAACATTATACATTACGATAAAATAAGATATTTCTTGGATTAATCATGCATTCATGTAAAAGTATATTTGATATTAGAAATAACTGTAATATACTTTAGTAGTATATTAGATTTACTTATACAGTAGTAAGTATTTTACATTCTGTATTTGCTACTGCCCACATCAGCACAGAATTTTGTCTGCTTTGGAAATCCTCATTGACAACATTGACAACTGACATAAAGATTTGAGGATTTATTGAACCAGTATATTTTCTTTATCACCATCGTCCATCAATAACAGATTTGAATCTTTCTTGCAAAAGGTCAAATAAGATATGACCGTGGCCAAGAAGCTGAATGACAAAAACCATTCATTAAATTTTTTTAAAATAAACGATACAAATTTTAATGATTAGAACAAATAATCGAATAATGGTTACATGAGACACCAACATTTTATCTGTATGTTAATATTGCTGCACTGCACAATATTTGCACTGTTCACTACTAAACACATCTAAAGGAAGTAATTGCTGACCTTTGCCTTTGTCTATTGACACCACACATACACAACGAATCAATCATTTGTTCACAAAAAGCAACAAGTCTTGAGCAATTCCTCTCTTCACCTCCACCTCCGCCGGAGCACACACATGATCACATCTGCTGTATTTTGTATATAATACATAAGTTGAACTAAAGATTGACAAGGTACTCACTGAATGACAGTGAAGATGCCTATATCACTGTCGTCTGAGTCCATTGTTGGTGTCCGTAAAGAGGCTACTTGGGCTTTTTTTTTTTCTCGAATTCAGGCCCTGGAGCCTTTTCCACAGACGAAATCCTCTTTTCTTCAGGACTCCAAAGTGTCTGCTTGATTTAGACTTTCCATAGGCAACTGTCTGACTAAAGCATTCAGCACTAATGATTACATACAGTGTGGTTGCAGTAGTGAGTGTCCAGTGCCCGGGGGGAGGAGAGTAATGAAATAACATCAGATTCCAGGCCAGTGCATCAGAAAACACACAGGGATCAATGATGAGCAGCTGGACTCCCATGACAGTGCGCTGGTTACAGCTGCTTCACAGGACAATGTACAAAACATGCATACACAATTATGTGTACAGTAGCTTGTTCATATAGCTGTCATAACAACACTAACATAGCAGTATAGACTTACTATATTAAGTAGCAACTACTACTGCTGTTGTCAAATGTTATTCCACGTCTTACCCAGGCTGTTTGGGAATGGCATGTGCTTTGCCATCCATCAGAGCTTAAAATAATACTAAAACCATAATCCAAGCTCTATCACTCGCTGCCTGCCAACTGTCACCCATAACCAGCCACATCAAATCCCATATAAACCTGGAAATTAGATCTTAACCCAAATGCTACCTCTCATATACTGTACATATTGTACTCACGGAGGAAACTTAAACTCAATTTGATTCATTAATTCTTGTACGGCCCTAAATCATAACAAGTTGAGGACTTTACAAAACCGTTGAATTCATCAACACACATCAAATACAATGATAGAAAACACATAAAGCTATTGGTCCATAAGGGGCGGATAACCTATGTCCATAAATGTTGATAAAGTCCATAAATGTCGTTGGATGTCAAGTGTCCTGGATCATCACCATAAACATGTCTATATTTTTGAGCACGTCCACTACTGCATTGTAACATCATGATAGTTCACGCTGGATTATGCCATGGAGAGTCACTCATGCATGAATGGCACACACACACTCTTCCATTAGTTATGAACTGAGCACGTGTCTTTGCCTCTGTGAGCAAAGAGAGCAGCTTGCGTAACACATCCCATGCTGCGTATACATACTGTAGACAACTAAACTTGGGTTTAAATAACAGGGATGCTATAGGTATGCACCAAGCCGATGTTTAGCCTCCGCAGAACAAAATACACTGGTTTTAGGTAGCTGTCCTGTATGGTCACATTCAAACAAAAGTATGCACTTGGAAGAACACACTTTTTTAGTACTTAATGACATGCTAATGATACCGTATGATGTGATTCCTCAATTTGTGTGAGAAAAATATACTACTTTGTAGTTTTATTTTTTTATATGCATTGTTCAGTCACATTTATAGAGGTACCACAGCGTCCTTGGGGCTGAATGGTTAATTTGTCACTAATCAGAAACTTCATTAGTTACAGAAAATGTTATTTTATATATAGTTAATCTTTCACATTACAGCCAACAAAATACACTTGAATTTATTTTTGTGGGAATTCATTTTCATTCAAAAGCAAATTATAAATGATGGAATTTTGATAATGTTTGTGTTTATTTTAGATTATAATATGTTCCCAGAAGCCGACAACAGCCAGTTTATGATCTTATTACATGAAACAAACGGCTCAACTGGGATATCAGATGAACTGCTATTGAGGAACTGATGTCCAGTCCAACACATTTATTTTACTTAACCAGAGTATTATGTATCAGTATAGCTGCTTCCCTGCAAGTTACCGCAGTTACTGTTATGTCCATTTTCTACAACACAATGAATGTGTGTGTTGCATGCATTAGATAAAAGGCCACATCTCCTGTGGGCCTGCCCCAGAGCAGCTTTGGTACATTACCCCCAGTAAGTGACTGAACAATTAATAAAACACAATAGAATTCTGTTTTACCACAAGTTACTTCTTTCCTCATCACATTGAGGAACCACCTATCCAGTATTGTTTTGTTATGTTGTCCAAATACAAACTTCCCTTTAATCCTCCCTCTGCATCTGACCTGCAGTATTTTGCCTGCTTACCCTGTCTGATACAGTACGGCTGAGTGCTGAGTGAAGCCGACAAAGGTGGCCTCTCTGTGCAATAAAGCCTCACGAGTCTGTCATGTGGCCTTACGTGCCCCTGGGGCACTGCACACTGCCACTATGGCCTGTTTTTTCCTCACATTTACAGACCACATAGGCAGCCTAGAGTGCTAAAAGAACAACAAGCATCACTTGAGATCAGTTATAGTCATCTTAGGGTCATTTCCGCCACGATTCAAGACACTGCTGATAGGCAAGACTCGTTCAACTCTGCATGGGTGGATATCTCATTTGTTCACACACAACAATTCTTCCTTGGAAAATTGCTTTGACAGCATGCACCCTAAATATCTTCATTAATTAACCAAATCACTTAAGGGCAGATGAAAGTTGCATCATCTTGAGTAGAATGAGTTGAACCAAATCAACAGAAGCTGAGATAAAACCTGGGGCAAACCATTAGATGATGAAGTGGAAGTGCATTTTGCATGTTGTGCCACACACAGAAACACAAGGAACTAATTAGTTATTTTGATCACTTCCTGAAATAAATCACAAAAAATCCCTATGTCATAAAAAAGCAATGTAACACCATAGTTAGCTCTGAAAAAACAGTTGCCTCACTTGTTTTCACTACAGTCTATGGTTTTCACATGTATGTTTTATGGCCTCTATCACAATTCAAGTTCAGATTTTTATTTGGGTGAAAAGGGTACCCACCCAGTACCCATCCTTACATAACCAGACAGTTCTCACTATGTAAAACAAAACGTATGTACATCAAGTGCCTTAATGGACAAACGGCAATTGTCACCCTATACCAAGTTGCCATGATAGTCTGAACAACTCATTTAGATTGCACAAATGCACAGTTAAACCCATAGACAGGAAGTATGAAAAAGTCAATTCCGGTCAATGGGAATGCAGGATATCACATTCCTCAAATCAGCCTCCCCTCTCCCTCGTCAGCTCGCACACACAACTGCAGGCTCCACCCTCTCCCCTCTGCCTGGGGAGGATAGGATTCACAGCATCCAGCAATTATCTGTAATGTGGGCGAAAAATCAATGCGCCCATGGAAAGCTGCTAAGGTCACCAAGCAGACTTTGGCGTTCAGAATGTTAGGCTTGTTATGTATAGCTGGGGCTTGGAGCCTCTATCAAGTCAAATAGTTGTGACATTTTTGAAAAAGCAAGGGATTATAATAATGATGTACTTGTTCAGAGAGAGAGAGAAATAATTGGCTTTGGAGAGTTGAAAAAAGACTTAGATAATCTATTAGTTTTCAACATTAGTCTCACAAGCATTCATGTGAGAGGACAATAAACTAAGAAGGAAATGATACAATGCAATTATTACAATAGTGTCATTTAGAAGAAGACTTTCACCAATCACTTAAAAAAAATAGTGCATTTTACAATTATAACATACAATCATATGTAAACTAAAAACAAATATGACCTGTACTACTTTGACTTTTCAGATCAGAGTCAGTAAAAGTGCTCTACTTTTCTGCCACAAGCTTGTTTCATAAATAATACATTTTGCTTCTCCCAATTGAAGGAGTCTTGTAAAAGTAAAATGTTATAAACAAATCAGACAACAGCATTCTATCGTTTGCATATTTGTCTCTTTTTCCCTTTTATGTCTGAAAAGGCTGATATAAAGGAGTCACGGAGACACATAAATACATGCTGTTGAAAGCTAGAGATGTGGGGTATTTGGATATTAGTGGAGTAAGTTAATTCAGTAGTTGCTCACCTTGGTTCCTCCTGGTTAGTCTCCTCAGCCTCCACACTTCCCTCCGCACTCTCAGCGCTCTCCTCCTCCATGTCTTCCCCATTCAGGTAGACTGCGACTGAAGGCTCTGTACCACAAATACAAAATTCACTCAGATACAGTAAAGGGAGGGGAGAGACCTGCTTGAAACATTGATAGTCTGGTGTAAATTCTATTAATGGCAATAGGATACGTAGACGAATGAAAAATCGATAATGCGGGCCCAGTAATGTAGGGAGGACGAGCTTTGAGTGGCAACCTGAGACATGCTGCCTTTCCTCTGCTTCTGTAAGTGGTTAATCAAGTGCTTGTCTGACATTTAGATTGCATTTTCCTCTCGCCATTACTCCCCATTTCGATGCAGAGATACGCTATCAAATGTGGGAGATGGCAATGTGAGTAATCATGGAAGTCAACAATCTGATTGAGAAGCAGTGGTGGAAAACAGATAGAATATCCTGTTGGATTTAGTGTCTCAGTTTGCCAAAGATGAATGTGATGCACTTGCTTAGAGTGGCACTGACTCCACGTGGACTCCATGCGGGTGACAAAAATGTTTTATGGTTGAAACGGGTGATTTTAAGGTAGACCATAACTTAAGTTATCTACAGGCTGAGTGAGTGTAAGTGTTGAAATTGTCTCTTAATGTAAACCCTAAATGTGTTACAAGTAGTTTGATATTTGGCCTTACTGCAGCTGTTTACATAGAGATATGCAAAAATAGAATGTTTTTAATGGTTCCAACAAAAACAGCCTTCTCTCAAGCAAAAAAAGTGTCTTTTTTGGTTCATTTTACTCTCCACTCCTTTTTGCATGTGTAGGCAGGCACAAATATACATTGCCCCAAAATCCCCTGTGTGCTGTTATTAAATCATGTTTGTCCATATTTCCACCACTTGAGTAGATATGGTAACTGGAAAGTGCACAAAGTTACTGGGTGTGCTGGGTCCACTGTATTGCTTGCCCCCATAGAAATACTTTTCCTTAATGTTAATTTTGATTGATTGCTCAAGATCTAATAGCTCTACATTGTTTCGGTATTTATATAGATATTTGTATGTTGTTTATTAGAATTCATTATCTAAAATTTCTAAACCACAATGGGCATTCAGTTAACTAAAGTAAAGTTATACATATTTTTGTAATGGAAATCCCCAACATCAACACGACAGACCACACCGTGTGCATTAGATTAGACTCTACTGACATCTAGTGGACTACACTTAAATTACAGCTTGACAGAATAGCCAAGATAAACATTACTACCGCAATTATATAAAAGACATTTAGAATATAAGATAAAACATATACACAACAATAATAATTATTATTATTATGTGTATGAAAATGAAAGTTGCATAGTAAAAATAATAATAATTATTATTATTATTAGTAGTAGTATTATTATTATAAATACAAACATATATATTATTATTGTTTTTTTTTTTTTTACATATTTTACATATTATTTATTACATATTTTTTAAAAATGTCACTACATTTTGTAAATTATATAAAATAGATATCATTTTATATCATTAAAAACTCAGATTCAGATTCATTTTATTCGCCATTTGCAGTAACACCACATTGGAATACATTAGTAAAAGTTCCCAAACAAAAACTGTTTGGAATTTCAGTGTGACAAGCTTAGATGTTCAGTTCAGTTCATGTGTTAAAAGTGCCTGTTTGAAGGACGTGGGCTTGAGTATGTATCTGAAGGTTTGGTGGACATCAGCAGCTGTGGCTCCTGTCTGCAGCTGTGGCTCCTGTCTGCAGCAATGGCTCCTGTCTGTAGCTGTGGCTCCTGTCTGCAGCTTTGGCTCCTGTCTGTAGCTGTGGCTCCTGTCTGCAGCTGTGGCTCCTGTCTGCAGCTATGGCTCCTGTTTGCAGCTGTGGCTCCTGTCTGCAGCTATGGCTCCTGTCTGTAGCTGTGGCTACTGTCTGCAGCTGTGGCTCCTGTCTGCAGCTGTGGCTCCTGTCTGCAGCAATGGCTCCTGTCTGCAGCTATGGCTCCTGTCTGTAGCTGTGGCTCCTGTCTGCAGCTGTGGCTCCTGTCTGCAGCTGTGGCTCCTGTCTGCAGCTGTGGCTCCTGTCTACCCGTGCCCTGGGATATGACATCAGGGGAAGTGGGATGAGATGAGACTGAGCCGGAGGAGTCTTGACTCTAAACCTCAGCTCGACCAAACAAGTGGATCAAACAGTGAGTGGGGGTCTTATCTGCACTTCCCCTGCCTGTTTGCTGGACGGCTGTATCTGATGGAGCCTTATCGAGGCCCTGCACTGCTGGTTCACATGTCACGTTATCACCCAGGTCCTTTCCCGAGGGCGCCCACAGGAAGAGTGCTCTCCCTGGGCACTGCACGACAAGCATCCCCCTGCCCTCCAGACCTGCCACTCCACTCACATGCACTCCCATCAAGGCCCGGAGTGACCTGTTTTATATTAAATCAAATATAAATGATGTAAGTGGTTGAGAACAGGATTTAGGTGGAAATTCTACAAATATATGTTTACATATTAAACAAATCATCTGTTTCATGTATGGAAACACTGACTAAAATATAAGAGTGTGTGTGTTAAGGCTTTTATGGCCTATCCCTATGTAGAATGTCCGTAAGTTTCATTTCTATTCACTTACTCTATAATGAGTGAGTGAATGGATGGTCAGAGGCTTTGATGCACCAGTGTGTTCCGCCTCTTGCTTGCGTCATCACTATATGTGAAGTGAATGAAACAATATCTGAACTCTAAACCTTGTATAGCGCTTTGGGTGACCTTGGTCTGTAAACATGTGCTGGATAAATAAGGATTACTTACTTACTATATTTGCAGGTGACGTAGCAACTGTCATATACACAAAGGCATAAGGTGTGTATAGATGTCAGTGGCCATATCTTGTGCAGATCTCTCGGTGCCAGTTCTATTCTTCAGGGGTCCTATGTTTGTTTCAAGGGCCACTTCACTGCATCTCAGGTGTGGGGATACACATTTCTATCCAAGAGGATCATTGTGTACAATGTATTGAATCGTTGTGTGAATACATTACAAACAACATGTGTTGTCAAATGGTGTAAGGGTGGACACCAACCGAATAATATTTTAATTTTAATGTATAGGCCAAATGCAAAGTAACAGTGCAATGTTTAGCTGTGCTGCTTAGCTTTCTTATAAGGACAGCCCTGATAAGAGATGACTGCCCAATACTGTGTTGGGCCAAATTGTAATAATGTATAGTTCTACATCATGGTGCTAACGCCCCTTAGGCTTCGCTATGGGTATACTCCTGAAGCATCTTGCTTCCCGCCAGAGAGAATAAAATGCTCCAATCACCTGCCAGTCCCATCTATAAATAGCCCTCTACGGCCCGTACCAACCACTTTTCACTCTGGCGCCACTGAGAGAAGAACTACTCACTACTTGAAGATGTCGTCTCCTTCCCCGTCGCGTCCGAGAACCCCGTCGCCCTCCGGCGTCGGACGAAGACGGTGCAGGAGCTGCAGGACCAGGATCTCCCGCAAGGACCAGCACAGCCTGTGCTTCCTTTGCCGGGGCGTGTCCCACTACCAGGGAGACGAGGCTGGCTGCGAAGCGTGCCTCTCTCTCCCCAGGGAGGAGAGAGAGCGCCGCATGGCGTTTGTGGACTCCGCGGTGGCTCACCCGGGTTCCTCCCAGGAGGACGAACTCGAGGTGGAGTATGTGCCGCTAGACCTGCCTCCCGCACCCAGGGAGTGGGGAGACTGCGTCGTGGAGGAGGAGGAGCGTGAGGAGGATCAGGCTTCCTTCATCACGCTAGACGAAGCTTCCTCCTTGTGCGAGCCGGACCGGTTCCCGCTCGATCACATGCCCCGCCTCTTCATGGCTGCGGCGAGGACCATGGAGACTCCATTCCCCCCGCAACCCGCGCAACCCAGGGAAGACTTCACCTCGGTGGGGTCTTCTCAGAGAGGGAGGAAGAGGCAGGCGCCCACGCTGTGTCCGCGTATGGAGCCGGTGTTCCACTACGCCACACGTGACTGGACCAAGCCCTCCACAGCTAAGAAGCCTGCCCTGGGGTACGGGGTCCTTACTGTGAGGTCCAGGACTGGTCCTGGTCCAAAGGCGTACCGGAGGTCGAGGATGCGGTGAGGCTGGCGCTCCTCCCCAAATCCTCCCTGTGGGCCGAGCAGCAAACCGCTCCTCCCCACCGACAAGGACCGGGTGTCCATGTCGGTACTGGACCGGTGCTACGCCAACGCGGCACAGGTCGTTGCGTTGGCGAGCAACATGGCGCTCATCACAGGCGCCTTGGACAGGTCACTCGCCGCTGGCGAGGCGCTGAGCGGCGAGGACCTTACCAGAGCCAGGACCACCACGGCAGCGACTCTCCGCATGATCCAGGCGCTCGCAATTGATGGTGGTCGGACGATGGCAGCGGCGCAGGTCGGTGCCCGTCACCTATGGCTGGGGCTTGCTGATGTCCGAGAAGCGGAAAGGAAGCAGCTTCTGGACCTCCCCATCTCCACAGAGTCCCTCTTCGGCCCAGATATGAGAGGTCTGATGGAGAGACTCGACGGAGCGGCGAAGGACTCCGCCAAGTTGGCGCCTCATCTGGCGCCGCGTCAACAACGCCGCTTCTTCGAGAGCAGAGAGAGAGGGAGAGACAGGGACCGGTCCCCGCTACGTCGCCCTGCCTTCCCCCAGACCACTGCACGCTCGGCGCGGCCTGCTCCAGCGAGATCCAGGGGCCAGGATTGGACCTCCGGAGGCCCAAGAGACAGATCTCTCCAGCGTCCTCCCCCTTTCGGTGGTGGGAGACGCGGGGGAAAAGCTTTTTTCAATAAAAGAAAGAATCAAGTTTATCCACTGTCTCAGTCCTCTGTTCCCTTGCACCACATGCCGTCACAGGTAGAGGGCAGTGTGGTCTTACACACAGAGCATACACACGGTACAGAGGGTGGTTTGATAGGAATGTCTCAGACCACCGCTCAGAGTAACAGATCTAGTGTTTCATATCTACAGGGAGTGTTGAAACGCGAGGGTCCCTATAACAGGGGATTTACGGTCCCTTCTAGCTCCACTGTCCCTCACACTTCTCCAATTAGCAGGGGTCTGAAGCGTAAGAGGCAGGCTGTGGTTACCGAGGCAACGGATCAGGGTCCGCCTGCCCCGCACTGCAGAGAAGCAAAGCTCGCTGCTATAAGTGGAACAAGGGGCAAGGACTCCTATGTTTCGCGCAGCAAGACAAAGAGGAGAGCTGTGGTTACCGAGGCAACGGGTCAGGGTCCGTCTGCCCCGCACTGCAGAGAGGCAAAGCACGCTGCTGTAAGCGGAGCAAGGGACAAGGACTCCCCTGTTTCGCGCAGCAGGGAAATGAGACAAGCCGTGGTTGCCGTGGCAACGGGTCAGGGTCCGTCTGCCTCACACTGCACGGAGGCAGAGCACGCTGCTGTAAGCGGAGCAAGGAGTAGGGTCTCCTCCGCAGCGCGCAGCGGGGCAAAGGGACAGAGACAAGCTGTGGTTACCAAGGCAACGGGGCAACACAGACTTCCTCGGCCCTTTCGTGGTTCCCCCCTCCTCTGTGAAGGCACCAGGAGTGTGGGGGGAATTAAGATCAGGTCTCACGGGCCCGGTGCCCCCTCTCACGTTCTTTTACCAGGTCTGGAGAGAGCAGGGGCTCCTCTCAGACGCGTGGCTGGACAGGACGTTACGCAGAGGTTATGCCCTACAGTTCGCGAGGAGACCACCGCCGTTCCAGGGCGTTCGAGCGGCAAACTCCAGGCGACATGGGACAGAAGAGGCTCTCCAGAAGGAGGTAGCCTCTCTATTACTAAGAGGTGCTGCGATCCAGGTCGACCCGCAGGACGCTCACAGAGGGCTGTACTCCCCTTACTTTCTGGTCCCCAAAAAGACAGGGGGGGTGCGCCCTATTCTGGATCTGCGCGCACTCAACCAGTGCATCTCCAGACGGCCGTTCCGCATGCTCACTACGAAGCAGCTGCTGGAATGCGTCAGACCCGGAGACTGGATGACCTCCATCGATCTGACAGACGCTTATTTCCACGTTGCGATAGTGCCAGAGCACAGACGCTTTCTGCGCTTCGCTGTGGGAGAAAGGTGCTACGAGTACTGCCGCCTCCCGTTCGGGTACGCTCTGGCTCCTCGCACTTTCTCAAAATGCGTGGAGGCAGCCCTGATGCCACTCAGACAAGCAGGGGTCAGGATCTTAACCTACATCGACGATTGGTTAATCCTGGCTCAGTCCAGGGAGGTAGCCCTGGAACACACGCTCCGGGTTCTGTCTCACATACAACAGCTGGGCTTTGTGGTGAACAGAGAGAAGAGCAGATTACAGCCTACCCAGCGCGCACTCTACCTCGGTCTGCAGCTGGACTCGGTGGAGTTCCGAGCAGCTTTGTCCAGGGACAGACAGGAGAGCCTCTCACAGCTGGCCACCAGGGCGCTGACTGCCCCCAGCGTGTCTGCTCGTTGCCTCAGATCACTCCTGGGGATGATGGCAGCGGCCCATGCAGTTATACGCCTGGGTCTTCTCCACATGAGAGGGTTTCAGAGATGGTTCTCCGGTCTCAGGATTCACCCCTCCCGGGACGCAGCGACCATGCTCGTAGTTCCCCCCAGGGTGAGGTCAGACATCAGCTTCTGGCTCACCCAGAGCGTGATGAGGGACGGGGTTCCCCTCAAAAGCGCCGTATCACACGTGGAAGTGTTTACGGACGCCTCTCTCGAGGGGTGGGGAGGGGTTCTGGGTCAGAGCTCCGTGGGAGGGCTCTGGTCAGATCCATCTCCGCACATCAATATACTGGAGATGGAGGCAGTGCGCAGGGTGCTACTGCACTTTGCACCACGGTTACAGGGAAGACACGTGATGGTGCGTTCAGACAACACCACCGTGGTGGCCTACATAAACAGGCAGGGGGGCACGAGATCCCCCGCTCTCCATCGCCTGGCGGCCCTCATCCTGATCTGGGCCGATGCGAATCTGCTGTCTCTCAGGGCACGCCACGTTCCCGGAGACAGGAACACAGGGGCGGACCTGATGTCCAGGGGGGGCCCACTCAGGGAGGAGTGGGGCCTGGCCCCGCAGATAGCAGCGCAGGTATGGCAGAGGTTCGGTCGACCTCGGGTCGACCTATTCGCCAGTGCAGGCAACGCTCTGTGTCCACTCTGGTTCGCGCTGCGGCCCACAGACAATCCACCTCTGGGGGTGGATGCCCTGGCGCATTACCCGTGGCCGGGGGGTCTTCTGTATGCGTTTCCCCCGACTCGCCTCTTGCCGGTTCTTCTGAGGAGAATCGAGCAGGAGGGTCGGGAAGTGATCCTCGTCGCCCCGGACAGCCCGCATGCCCTCTGGTTCCCGTTCTTGAGGGGCATGGCGGTGTGCGACCCCTGGCCTCTCCCGGACGAGCCCGGGGCTCTGGTCCAGGGAGGGGGGACGCTTCACTCGCGTCCGGTACTGGGCCGTAGACTCTGGGTCTGGAGGCTGAGAGGCGGACTCTCGTAGGTCTGGGTCTCCCCCAGTCGGTGGTGGAGACCATTCAGGGCGCTAGGGCCCCTTCCACCATCAGGGCCTACGGATGTAGGTGGAAGGTTTTCAGTGACTGGTGCGCGGCCCGGTCCTGGGACCCCATGTCATGCCCTCTGGAGGGAGTGCTGGGCTTTTTACAAGAGCTTTTAGAGAAAGGGAGGGCTGCCGGCACCCTGGCGGTGTTCGCGGCAGCCATTGCCTCTGGACATGAAGGGTTCGGAACCTTTTCGGCTCGTTCCCACCCACTGGTCAAGCGTTTCCTTCGGGGGGCCCAACGGAAAAGGCAGGTTCCTCAAAGGACCCCCCCACTCTGGGACCTTAAAGTGGTTTTGAAGGGGTTATCGGGATCTCCCTTCGAACCTGTGGCCCAGGCCAGCCCTGGAGTGTGTGGCTCTCAAGACTGCCCTTTTGCTGGCGTTGGTCTCAACCAAGAGGGCAGGGGAGCTATGCGCACTCTCCGTTCGCCCAGAATGTCTAGCATTCGGTGCTGAGGACGGTGTGGCTGTGCTTTGGCCGAACCCAGCCTTTCTGCCTAAGGTTGTTACTTCGGCTTTTAGGTCAAGGGTCATCAGGGTCCGACCCTTTCACCCGCCGCCTCATGCCTCCGAGGAGGAGGAGCGGCTGCATCTGTTGTGCCCAGTCAGGATGCTGAGATCCTACCTGGCGGTTACAGCTTCCTTCAGACGGTCGGATCAGCTATTTGTGTGCACAGGCCCTAAGAACAGAGGCGCACCATTGACACCCCAGAGGCTGTCCCACTGGGTGTCGCGGGCGATTCGCCTGGCGTACCAGGCTCAGGAGTTGGTTCCCCCGGTGGGGTTCAGGGCGCACTCCACACGAGGAGTCGCGGCCTCCACAGCTCTGCTCCGGGGTGCCTCTGTGGAGGACGTTTGCCAAGCCGCGTCTTGGGCTTCGTCCTCTACCTTTGCCCGGTCTTATTTAGTGGACGTGGCAGAACGGTCGGTTGCCCATTCCATTCTGAACGCAGGGGTCTGACTCACCGTGACAGACCCGCTCTTCCCGTTTATTGGTTGCCATACTCCAGGAGCTCTTGATAGAGGCGTCCGGGGTATGGCCTTTCACTCTTCTCATACCTCAGGAGCTCTTGGTAGAGGCGTCCTAGGTATGTTCACTGTTGGCTCCTACGGGAGTCCTGCCTGAGTGTGGGCGTCCTTGATAGGAGCGGCCCTTGCTCGGTGTTCTTGCTCCTCTGGAGCTTGTCAGTGTCACTCAGGCGTCCTTGGTAGGAGCGGCCTCGTACACTGCGCCTTCTTATTCCTGCCCCGAGTCCATGCGCCTTGATAGTGCGGCGGGAACTCGGGCAGGGCTCCAATCACTCTACGCTGGCCTGATGGGAGTACATTCTCCGACGGCTTACGCGTGGTTACCCATAGCGAAGCCTAAGGGGCGTTAGCACCATGATGTAGAATTGATAGTTACCTAATGTAACTCAAGTTCTACGAATGGTGCGTAGCCCCTTAGCTACGGGCCCATCAGTCCAGCATGGCTTTGGCTGAGTTCAAAGTGGTTGGTACGGGCCGTAGAGGGCTATTTATAGATGGGACTGGCAGGTGATTGGAGCATTTTATTCTCTCTGGCGGGAAGCAAGATGCTTCAGGAGTATACCCATAGCGAAGCCTAAGGGGCTACGCACCATTCGTAGAACTTGAGTTACATTAGGTAACTATCAATTACACCATCAATCTTTTGTCTCATAAAAGTTGCATTAAATATTGTTCAATCCAATTAAGCCTCCCGAATGATGAAAGAGTTTTTCATCAGCAAATAAGTTGACAAAGAAGTGTAGTTAGTGATTCGTTACTGTTTCAACAGTAGTTACTACGAACACAATACCCTATAAGTGAGGGAATGTTTGCATTCTCCACAACATCAACCTCATAAAAGAAGAACGCAAACCTTGCAACCTGTTTTCACTTTTTCATTGGGACATAAGATATTTTTCTGCACACTGTGCACTTGCTATAGTCAAGCTTTCACTCCGGCAAACTGTACTTGCTTTATTGATCATGATAAATCACAATAATGCAAGCACAGCGTCTCTGCACCTGTTAAACTCGTAAGGATAGATAGGTTTGATACATAGTCATAAAGGAGTGGAGGCTAAACTGAAAGGTAGGCTGATTTAGGAGGTAGTGGTGGCTAAACTGTGAGGTAGGCTGATTTAGGAGGTAGTGAAGGCTCTTGAGGGGAGGGGGTGAGCAGGTTTGATTCATAGTCATAAAGGAGTGGAGGCTAAACTGTGAGGTAGGCTGATTTAGGAGGCAGTGGAGGCTAAACTGAGAGGTAGGCTGATAGAGGAGGTAGTGAAGGCTCTTGAGGGGAGGGGGTGAGCACAGGCCAATGGCACAGCCGCGCGTTTCTCAACTCTCCACAAGCGGCATGAGGCGCACGGACTTCCACACGCGCTTCTGTCCACCGGGACTTTTGGCAAAGTTATGAAAGTGAACCTGGCCGATCATTTACGCCAAACGAACGCTAATACCACACACTATGGCGGCGCAAGGACTGCTGAGTAGCGTTTTCTCGTGTTCATTGAGCCCAAAGATTATGTCCAAGCGGAGACTGAGGCAGACGCGGAGTTTGGACCCAGCTTTGATGCGACATTTCGGGAATAATGAGGATGAGGAGAAACCACTAGAGCCCTACACGATCCAGGTAAAATTGCTCTGGAACAATGTATACAATGATGCCTTTGTAACGTGTGAAGTACAACGTTTATCATTAACACTTTGCACAAATGCAAGTTACATTTGAAGAAGAGTCTTTTGTTCAGATCTATTCAACGACAATCGAAAAGTTTCACCACAGAGTGACACAGGTGATGAATGCCAAACTTTTCCATGTTGTTTCGTCATTTTACGAGTGTTTCAGTGCATTCTTCGGGATGTAAGTGTGTCAGCCTGAGAGCAGCATGTGGGAACTTGCAGGTTTATGTTTAGTCACTTTGTTGTACGTCTTCAGACATTGTTCAATCTTATTCACCCATGAAACACTGCACATCACCAAGAGGGCGTGTCCATAGTGGTCAACTCAAGTGTCTGTCGAAGTAGGTGATGGATCAATTGTTTGTTTGTGATCTTCATTCCTTTCCACCCTCAGTGTTTCCTTTACAATGGTTCATATAGGATTTCAACATTTAAGGTTATCGGATGTGCAATGACCTACAAGTCTTACTATAGGCCAAACTTGTTGCTTTATTTCCTGGTAATTTGCCATTGCAGACTAGTGTATCGTGTTAAACTCTGCTTATAATTGATCAGAAATTACTAAAACAAATCATTTTCTGTGGTAAACTAGCACAATGTTGTCTAATCTGAGCTTGGAAAAAGTCATTGAGTGCACATGATGACATCACTCTGTCCAAGAAGCTGGATTGTTATTTGCCAAAACCTTCTCTGCTATTCTTACCAGGGTTGTCTTGGCAACACTGTTTGTTTAATAGAAATGTATTGCATACAGTATAATAGCCAGCTAATGAATGCCAGGTATCTGTTCTCTGTTAGAGGCTACCATCAGCACTGGTCCCACTCTGCTGCCAGAGCCCTCAGAATGTAATCACAGTAAATCTGGCTGATGGGGCTGATTCATACTGAAGACAGCTGTGTACCAGTGAGCATATCTAATACAATGTATGTGTTTTAGACTAGTGTGCTTGTCCTGCACACACACCAGTGCCATGCCATGCACTGTCATGTTCAGCAGATTACGATCTTTGACATTTCTCTGACTTAAGTGCCCCACACTACAAGTTACAAAATGTACTGGCATGGGATAATGTCATATATTTATTATTATTTTAAGAGGTGCTCAAGCCAACTTTTGCCCGTAGGTGAAGGTGTGAGATTCTACCAAGACGCATGACAACATTTGCAGACAGCGAAAACAAGCAGCTGGCCATATGTAATGCTGATTTCAAGTTACCAAAGCTCTGTGGTGATGACATTTTGGAAATTATGTCATTGTAAGAACATAAGTCAACTAAAGTTCACTATATTCCCATTCTGGAAGACACTTAAAGTTTAGCATGTTCTCTCAGTCAAGGAGCCAGCTGCACACTAAAGACATGTTATGCAACTCTTGGAATACTGTCTTTCGGAGTCCTGTCCAAAATATGCTTAGTGGAGTGTAAATCACAGAGAGAAGCCTTGATTTAGAAAGGATCATGGGATATCCTTCAAGGCAAAGTGTAACCTGGTGGAGTTAGTGCTGGTCATAGACTGTATTATGAGTCTATGGAGTTGAACAGGCTTGTTTTCATCTGTTTAAACCATTAAGTGCAGAGGTGCGACAAAAGCCCAAAAATAAATAAAAAAGTGCACGCAAGTACAGGTGTTTTGATTGATCTGGTAGGTGCAGAGTGGTCAATGTTCATATTTATGCATCTGCTTTAGGTTGAATCATACACACAATTTTGACTAAGATATGTTCTTGTTCATTTGTGAGTATTGAAATGTAAAATGTTGAGCGTGTTCTAAATGACGTTATGCCTCCCATGGACCAACCAGGTCTGTGCATTAGATGTATACTCGCCGGGGTCCGCGGGTGAGCTAAGATGGAAAACAGGGACATCTGGTTTACATGAAGAAAGCCTCTGCTCTTATTTCTCACTGTTGAGCAGCATGACCTGATCCTTGGCTACAGTCCCTCAGGCAAATACTTCCCAGTGGAGAACCTTCATGTGCAGGGCAAGACACTAAACATGCTGGCCACTGCCGAGTGTCCACTTTGTTCCTGTTAATAAATTCAGAACACACAATGGAGTTTATAGGTCACTGTTTGGCATTGATTCATTGAGAACTCCATGTCACACATCTTTACTATGTTGTGTAACAGTACCGTACGGCCTACTTACTGCACATGTCAAAGCATTCTTCAGTGCTTTGTGATTGGGTTTCGAATGACCACATCTACACATAAAAGCAAAGTCCTTATTGAAAACATCGCTTTGTTAAACTGTGTTCCCAATGTGACTTGTCAAAGGAGGCCTGAGCCGTTATTCGATTCTCTGCACAAATTTGCTGAATACTGTACCTGATGATGCTGATGATGTAGAGACAGCAGCAGTCGACGGGTTCTGTTGGATTGTTAGGGCTAAATGTCACCGGCATTCTTGTGGGCTCCATGGAGGAGAAACAGCCTGAAGATCCAGCTGTGAGGAAAAGTTTTTAATTGCCTTGTGAATTTCAGACGATTAAACCAGAGTAGATTAGTTTAGTTGAAGCAGAAATCTCTCCCATTTTTCATTCACTTGATAATTATGAGTGAGACTAGACATGTTTTGAATTGTGGGATTCTCTTTGTGTATGTTTTCAGAATGCCTTCCCAACCACATTAGGTTAAACTAATTGCAATGGAGAAATATATATACAGTACATTTCATAACTTTTTTGTCTGTTTATGTATTCAGATTGCGAGGACATTCATTCTATAAGCTTGGGGTTTTGTGTGGTAATCTTGCCTAAAATCCTCTCAAGTCTCCGGTGAATGAAGAGTCCTCCACCCTCTACTGTCTACAAAATGATTTGTTTTTTCCACTCTTCCTGTTTACTGCTGCAGTACAGTGTTAAAGTTTCTCCTTTCAGCTTCCCAGACAGAACAGCTAGAAAAGTGATTTTAAGAACTCAGTGAAGTAAAGTGAATTAAGGCCTATTAATAATAAATACATGAAGTGGTGCATGGGCTCGTTGTGTATATTGTTAGATTTTTTGAAATATCTTAATACTTTAAGTGATCCCAGTCGGAACCGGGCCTTTCTGAGTGGAGTTTGCATGTTCTCCCCATGTCTGTGTAGGTTTCCTCTGTGTACTCCAGTTTCCCCTACCACTAAAACATGTGCAATACTTCAGGGTGAATGAATGAGTGTGTTTGTGCGTGCGAATGTGGGACAACGGACGCAAATTAGCCCTTAAGGCTACAATCCAGAGTGATGTGTTCATTAACATATACTGTCCTAACCAAATAAACAATAAATAAACAATAATACTGCAATATATTTCTCAGGTGTGTCCCAACTAGATATAAAGCTTTTCCCCCAATATTACTAAGCAATGTCTTTCTTTCACTTTTTGTATTACTCTACACCAATTGGTTCTATACAGTAAAAGTATATACGCTTACTAATTGACCATGAAATAACCTAATCGATCCATTAAATCCTTTCTATTTGACTATTTGACTTCTATTTGAACAGCTGTCTCCTTCATTTGTCCCCCCCCCCCCCCACTAACCATTCCTAAATGTAAACTGATTGCAGGATTTAGAAGCTAGTAAAGATTCATAGCTGATTTCATAAAAGCACTACACAGCTCCATGCGAAATCCTCATGGTTTTGAAATTAAAAGATTTTATTTTGTATTGGATTAATTTGGTGAACTCAATTCAAAACAAACTTGCATACCCCACATATCAGAATCATACAAAGGCACCGTGTTGAAATGCTTTATCCATGTTGAAATTTGTTTTATTTTTGGCTAATACATATTCAACCTGCCTAGTTGTAAATCTCCTACTGTTTGCCCCGTCTCAAGTTAAGTGCTCACTACCACCACACGCGTCCAGCTCAGCATGCGCACTACTGCAGTCTGCAGGTTGCATGTACCTATAATAAGATCAGGTAAGAGGATACGCTCTTGTGTCCTAATACTCCATTTGAGTCCAGACACACACAGGGCTTCTGCTGCTGCTGCTGCTGACCCCTCCTGTACGGTTGAACCCCTCCCAGTCCGTGTATCAGTGCCAGCCATAGCCAGCACTAATGTTATTCACAGATCTGAAGTGTGTCTCTCCGTCATGTAATCACTCCCTGAAGCGATCTCCCTGTGCGCTGAAGCCGAGGGGGCAGAAACCATCATTGGTCCGTGCGTCTGGTCTCAGGTCATCATGGAAAAGTGACTGGACATCATGTGGAAACCTTTATTTTCACCAAACTTCTCCCGTTGTGTGAGTAACTGTTGCTTCCGGTGGCTTGTTCCGGTCTTCAATTTATTTGTGTGATTTGAGAATCTCCAGGGACAACATATCTAGGCATCGAATCTTGTTATATTTTTTGTTAAAGTTTACAGCTCTGCTGTAAACTTTGCTCTGCTTTCATGGATGATTGTGGTCCAGTTTTTTGGAGTTTTATGATATGAAATGAAATATTATCCCATGACAATATCCCAATGACGTGTGAGTGGGTTTGTATTGGCCTAAGACAAAGAACGTCCTTTGGAAAGTTTGTTATGTACCGCTCCATTGAATACTTTCCTGAGTTCTGAGGAATATGCAGCGTTCACTCGCTGGATGTGGATCAAGTGGGCTTCATTTGTGTAATCTCACTTTTCATCTCTCTATTCTATGTGCGCTACTTCACAAGCTTCCTCTTATTGTGTGCAGCGACGCATTGTTTTTGCTTTGAAATAGCCTCTACTTTGGGACAACTAAGAATCTATAATAGCATCTCTAGCTCATGGCAAAATGTTTTGAAGTCTTGAAAGATAAGCAACAAACTAACTGGAAATACAGGATCCCGGAGCGCTCCTGGCGCTCCGGGATCTCCGACCCCCAATAGCATGAACCATAGTTAAAAATCCACCAGCTCCGGTCCTGACTAAGCTGAGGAAGGATATCGGTCAAAATGCAGAGCACAAATTTCCCTTTAACGTGAACCATTCCCTTAACATAACCTTTCCTTAACCAACACATCCACAGTTGAAGTTGAACTTGGAGGATAATCAGTCATCATTGAGTTCCGTCAATGTTTTATAGTTGCACAACCGTTGAAGTTGGCTTAGTTCTTAGTTCTGATGGAGTGACTCACTAAAAAGACAAACCGTGGGAGCCAGACTCGCATCAGATAAAAGTTTCCTCTATGCTCAGGCGAGTGGAATGTCAAAAGTTACATGGTTAACCACTCTCCTCACAGACACATATTCTTTATTCATCTACATCTAAAAAGTGTTGAACCTTTTGGTTATTGCAATTCTTATTTTTTATCTATGATTTAACAATAGATTTCCTTTTCATTTTATCTCGGGAGCGCAATGGCTTCCTCCTAACTGCCACCATGCATTTGTTAAGTTCACGGGAGACTAAAAATTGGGTGTCTGGGTCAGGTCTGCAACTCACTGCCAACTCTGTGGAGTTCCTTCAACCTCTGCAAAAAAAAAAAGAAGTCACATTTAATCTGTAATTGGATCCAGTCTTATTTATACTGTACATGCTGCTATGCTGAAAAGTAAATCTAACGTAATAGAAGCGATTTAAGTATAAGCTTTATCCTGGTAATGACTTGCTAAGCCTCTTTGGTGCATGGCTCATATGATTGGCTTGATTGTACTGGATCAAAGCCTGTAATCTGGAGCCGGAAGACGCAGAGGTGGAGGCCTTCACATCAGATGCTTTGCCCCTTTATTGCTACTTCTCCCCCAGAAAATGTGCTCGCAAACCGTATTTACCAATGAACGAGCCTAATGAGCTGTGTGCCGTTGCAGGCTGACAATGAATAATGCAGAAACGAATGAGAATGAAACACAATTAAATACCGCGGGCAAATAAGTGGACTAGAAAATTAATATAATAGAATCATTTTTTTCTAATTAAAAGGAAGCATTCCCATGATTATAACTGCAAATTAAACCATAAATATAACAAATGTATTAAATGTGTTCATGTGTAGTCTGTGCACAAATGATGAGCCGTTTGACTTTGATAAACAGATGCGTCTGATGTTATCTCATTCCCCACTGTTTGTGTTCAGGATGACTTCACCTGGAGCAGCGTGTCGGGACGCAGCGTTGGCCTGAAGCCCGTCCCGCTGCAGAGCCTCTCGGAGCTGGAGAGGAACCGTCTGCAGGATGTGGCCTTCAGGAGGCTGCTGCAGGACTGTGACCTGGGCTGCCACATCTCCATCCCCAAATGTACTAACACACACACACACACACACACACATGCACACACACAATGACTCGTGCACACGTTCACACACACACACAAACACCCAGGCCCACACAGACACGATCACACCCACACACGCCCATACATAGACATATATGTGGACACACTCCCACGCTCGCGCATACAAACACAGACACAGATGAAAGAATATTAGAATATCTTTCAATACCTGTATTTTTATGGCTCACCGCAAATAAAACCATTTACCCAATTTTGAATGTTTTGAAAATGAACCATAAATCAAAATCAGCGAAATTATCCTTGCCATATGTCACTTTGCATCTAATAAGTCTATATCATATTTTAGTTTCATGTTTTAGGTTGAATTATAGAACTTTTGAACGATAATCTAATTTTCCAAGTTTCACTTGTACTTCTGAAAGAGAAAGCATCTGACGAAGGCACTGTGGCAGAAACGTCTTATGAATGAATACTGACATCTGCAACTTTCTTTAAACTTATGTCCTGCTAATATTGTCCTGCTTCTGAACTTCAAAAAGAGTTTTTCAGTGTGCGTTACTTTCTTTTTTTTTTTTTCAACAATATGTTTATTTCTCTTTTTAGGTTTTAAATGACATTCAACAGAACATCCTCTCAGACACAAAATACCATGTTACCATACATTATATTGATAATGCCCCTTGACACAAGATATCAGAGATCAATCATCTCTTATTGAGCAGGTCATTGAATGTATAATTATTCATAACCATGTTCCTCTTCATGATCTTCTGTTAAGTCTGTGCCTTCTGCAAAAAGCATGAACGGTCTCCAAATACTTTCGAACAAGTCCTTTTTTCCTTTTAACAAGTATGTAATGCGTTCCAATAGAAGAGTAGCCAACATCTGTTTAACCCACTGTCCAATACTCGGTCTTCTTATGCTTTTCCAATGCAGTGCAATCAACATTTTAGCTTGTAATAAACAAATATCAATAAACAGCTTCTCATTTTTTGAATATGCTGTGTGCTTGGGATATAAACCTAAAATTATAAAGGAAGGTTCCAAAGGAAGGTCTTTAGAAATAATATCCTTCACCGTTTCCTTTATTTTACCCCAAAATGTGTTAATTTCTCTATATTCCCAAATACAATGAAACAGTGTTCCCTTCTCGTCTCCACACTTTGTACATATGTCCGGAATATTTGGATTGTATTGGTTTAATCTAACAGGAGTGACATAAACACGCATAAGCCACTTGTACTGTAACAATCTCAACCGAGAATTTATAGTTTGCTTATGCGCTTTACGGCAAGCCAATTGCCACTCATCTAGTGACAAATCTATTTGCAGATCTTTCTTCCAAGCTTCCAATTTTAAGGTTGAATTATCTGGGGAGTGTGATAGCAGTAGTTTATAAAATTGTGAGATTGCTCCCCTTTTAAGGCTATTTTCACTTATCATTTCTTCTAACTTAAATTTGGGTGGTTTCAATAGGTTGCTTTGTTTTGTTCCTATATAACTTCTAAGTTGGAGATACTTGAAAAAATATTTTCTTTGGATGTTGTATTTGTGTCTAAGCATGTCAAATGACATCATGTTGTCTGAGCCTGTTGGATCTTGAATTTTCTCCAATCCATTTAAAGCCCATTGCTTAAACACGGCATCGGCTCTCCCCGGGGAGAAGTTCTGATTTCCCCAAATTGGAGTTAGCCGTGATAAAATAATTGGTTCTTTAATGTGCCTTTTAACATTATACCACACCTTAACCATGTTTTTAACTATTGGGTTTTTAGTTTTCTTCATTAAATTAACTTCTGTATCAGAAAAAAGGTACAAAGGTAATGGAGGGCTCAAGATGTTACTTTCCATTTCGGTCCACTGGGGAGGGTCATTTTTGCAAAAATAGCACCCTATAGATCTGAGCTGAGCTGCCCAGTAGTACCATTCTATGTTTGGGCACATCAAGCCTCCTTCATCACAGGGTAAATGGAGTAATGACAGTCTTATTCTAGCACGTTTGTTTGACCATATAAAATCAAGAAGCAGTTTCTTAAATGTTTTAAACCAGTCAGCAGGGGGTGGCAAGGGAATATTCTGAAAAACATACAACAGTTTTGGAAGTATATTCATTTTGTAAATATTAATTCGACCTATAAGAGACATGGGAAGAAGACTCCATCTGTTGACACTATCTCTTATTTCGTTAGTTATCAGTTCATAATTATGCTGAACAATTAAATCTAAATTTGGAAGGATATGTATTCCTAAGTAAGTAAATTTAGAAACTGACTTGAATTGTGAAACGGCTACAGGCGGATTTTCTCTCTCTCCTTTATCTAGCAACAAGATTGATGATTTTAATCTGTTAACTACATATCCTGAAATATGACCAAACCCATCAATTAGTTTTAACAAAACAGGGATAGATGAATTTAATTGTGAAAGGAATAAAATTATATCATCTGCATATAGCGACAGCCTGTGTTCTACTTGATCAACCGTGATTCCAGTTATGTGTAAATGTGACCGTACAGCTATAGCAAAGGGCTCCATTGCTAAAGTGAAGAGCAGCGGAGATAACGGACATCCTTGCCGACAGCCACGTTTAACTAAAATTGGTTTAGACACGTTTTTATTTGTTAAAATCTCTGCAGTTGGGTGTAAATATAATAGTTGTATCCATTTTAGAAATTTCTGTCCCAATCCAAATCGTTTTAACACATCAAAAAGATAGGCCCATTCTACCCTATCAAACGCTTTTTCAGCATCTAGGGAGAGGAGGGCCGTATCCTTAGTGTTATCTAATGCTTGAATAACATTGAGAACCCTCCTAACATTGTGTAGACCTTGCCGACCTGAAACAAAGCCGTTTTGATCCCTGTGTATAATCAATGGAAGGGTTTCCTGCAAACGAGTTGCTAGTAATTTGCTGATTATCTTAAGATCTGAATTAAGCAGGCTTATTGGCCTCATATTTTCACATTTATCCCTAGATTTTCCAGGCTTAGGCAATAAGATAATTAATGCACTGACCATTGAGTTAGGGAGGTCCCCATCTATAAAAGCTTCCTGTAACATTTCCAATATTGGCCTTACCAACTTTCCTTTAAACTTTTTATAAAAGTCAATTGGAAACCCATCAGGTCCAGCTTTTTTACCTGTGCTCATGTTGTCAATTACTTTGACTATTTCATCTTCACTAATGTCTGAGTCTAATCGTTGGCCAAGTTCTTCTGTGATAGTTGGTATGTTTAATTTGTCTAGGAATAATTTCCGTGTGCTTGGATCTGTATGGTCCTGGGAATCATAAAGTTTTTCATAATAATTTCTAAATTCTTTATTTATCTCTATTGGATCCACAATTGTCTCCCCTCTTGTATTTGTTATTGTTGTTATGTCTTTTTGTGCTTCCAGTTGCTTTATTTGCCATGCTAAAATCTTACCGGGCTTTTCTCCCTGTTCATAAAAAGATTGATTTAACCTAAGTATGTTAGAGGCTGCCCTGTCCGCAGTAGCTTTATTGTATTGTGCTTTTAACAGCAACAGCTCTTTTTCTACATTTGAATTTTTATCTCTAAACAATTGTTTCTCCAAATTCTTTATTTTTTCTTCCAACTGTTGTCTTTTCTTGCGCTGTTCTTTAGATTTTGAAGAGGTATAAGAAATGATATAACCCCTTATGCAAGCCTTAAATGCATCCCATTTGACACGAGCTGTGGTTTGTGTTGTGTTTAAACAAAAATATTCATCAATTTTATTCCCTACATATCCTACGAAAGCTTCATCCTTGAGCCATTTTTGATGTAAGCACCACCTAGGAGGGTCTATCAATAAATCTTTATGAGTATATTTTATGTTACATGAAGCATGGTCTGAAATTGTTATACTATCATAGGAACAATCTCCCATATTAGGCAACAAGTCTGCCGAAATCAGAAAGTAATCTATGCGGGAGTATGTGTTAAATGTTTTAGAGTGACAAGACTAATATCGATAGGATTTTGATGTCGCCAAATATCTACCATCTGTAACTCCTTCATAAAATTCTGGATGATTTCTCTGCTTTTATGATGAGTCTGGTCAATTCCAGTGGATCGGTCTAGGATTGGATTCAAAACGCAGTTCCAATCTCCACCAATAATAACTTTACCTGAGAGAGAAGAAATGGTTAGAAATAAATTTGTAAAGAATCGATCATCATCTATATTTGGTCCATATACATTCACTAAGTTGAAATTTTCATGTAAAATTGATCCCTGGATAATCAAGTATCTTCCGAATTTATCTTTTATAACATTTGTAACATGCAAAGGCACCGATTTATGAATCAGTGTAATTACACCTCGAGCTCTTGATGTAAATGATGATGCATACAGTGATCCCTGCCACCTCCTGCTTATTCTGATATTTTCCTCCTCAAGAGTGTGGGTTTCCTGCAGGAAAACAATTTTAGAGCCTAGATCTTTTATTTTGTTCATAACCTGCTTGATCTTTTTAGATTTACCCAAGCCCCTGCAATTCCAGGAAGTATATTTAATTTCAAATTTTTGTGTCATCTAAACAAAAACATACAAGTCTTATTTTTCCACTGTGTAAATGTGTCTGAGAGTTAACACACACTAGAACATTAGAACAAAATGCTGCGAGCAGCACCAACATCACAAAAACAAAAAAACCCATCCCAGCTAACTGGGTAAACCCCTGAAATAGACTACTTCCGACCGCGAACAACGTTTGATTCCTAGAATCTAAACTGTCGTCTCAATATTCACCTGCAACTGTATTCAAATAATGTATCCTTTTTTAACACTACTTGCATTTGCAACTTCAAAATACCTACAATATGTGGTTGGCAGTGTCAGTACCTATAAACACAAGTCATTCTGTTTCTCCCGTTTCCATTTGGATCTTCTTGACAAAGATCTTGGCCTCCGCTGGGGAAGTGAACTTGTGGACTTTCTCCTTGTATGTCAGCACCAACGTGGATGGGGAAAGAATGCCATGTCGCACTCCAAGTTTACGCAGCTGGTCGCGAACAACATCAAACTGCTCATGGTGCGTTCAGACCAAACGCGATTTCTGCGGCCAAATCGCGTCTATCGCGCGGCTTGAGCCGCTTGTGACAAATTGTGGCAGCCGCTGTCAGAGAGAAACTTGGCCGCGCGGACAGGACACTAGAGGGCAGCCGCTGTCACAGAGCGTTGAGAGCGTCTAGGGGCGGGGCTTGTCTCTTTTGCCTGTAGCTTCCCAAAATGGATGTCAGCGAAGGAGTTGCTTTATCTGATAAATAAAGCCAGACACGTCGTCAAAGGGCGAATCGACGACGTGTCTGGATTCATCAGATAGTCCGTAGACGGTTGGAGTTTGGTGAGTTTCACCATTTGCTCCGGGAGCTGCGCTCGGATGAGGGTCGCTTTCAGCGGTACTTTCGTCTCTCCCTGGCCCAGTTTGACGACCTACTGACCCGCATTGGCGCTAGGATCTCCTACCAGGACACCAACTACAGGCGCTCTATTCCAGCTGAAGAGCGCCTGTCCATCTGTCTGCGGTTAGTGTTTTTTTACCCCATTCAGAATTCATAACTACTTACAAAGTGTGTCATTTTTCAATCACAATCCACAATGTAATTGCTCAGAAAACAGTATTATGCAACAATATGGTGTCTATGATTACTGTCTATGATGTTTACTGTCTACTAGTTTAACGTATTTTATGCTACACAAGTTTTGTCACGTGATTTTTATGAATGTAATTGTGATAAATATGTTCATATCATTTTGTAATTGCAGGTTTCTTGCCACTGGGGACTCCTACAGGACCATTGCGGGGAGCTTCAGAGCGGGCATATCCACCGTCTCCATGCTCATCCCAGATGTGGTGGCAGCCATCTGGGACTGCCTCGTGGAGGAGTTCATGGCTGTGCCTGGAGCAGAGGAGTGGAGGTCCGATGGAACTTCCCTCTGTGCTGTGGGGCCATTGATGGGAAGCATGTGGCTGTGAAGGCACCCCCCAACTCTGGGTCCATGTTTTTTAATTATAAGGGGCACCATTCCCTTGTGCTCCTGGCTGTAGTGGATTCCCAGTACAGGTTCAGGGTGATTGATGTGGGAGGGTACGGCAGATCCAGCGATGGAGGCATCGTGTCCAACTCTGCCTTTGGTGAGGCTCTGCGCGAGGGCACACTCGACCTGCCTCCTGACCAGTGCATACCTGGAGCTGACCACAGAGGACCCCAGCCCCATGTGTTCGTGGCAGATGAGGCCTTTTCACTGCGCCGCAATTTAATGCGCCCTGCCCATCTCCAGGATGAGGATGAGGATGGCTGGAGATGGGCAGGTTCCTGCACCGAGGGGAGCTGCTGCCGGTGAAGAACCACTTCCAGGCGTGCAGCGGATGGCCGCCTGGAAGCCAGCAGTGGACATAAGGAAAGTGTTCATGGCCCACTTCAGTGAGGAGGGAGCACTGCCGTGGCAGCCCACAGAGTAGTCATGTCCACCACAAGACTGACCCACATCTGGCCATAGTCCAAACCCATATTGATTTGCACTATTCTATTCACCTGTATACCTTCTGTTTCTAGGTAATGACTGCCAGACTCCACTGCGACTCCACTCCAACTTCAGGTTAATCATATGCACATTCAAGCTTTTCCATAATTACAAGGTTGTTAAAACAGTAAAAGGTGAAATGAATAAAAAATACTGTCAACTACTGTATCGCTCTTTAAGTGTTTGTTATTCCATCTTCTATAAAACCCAGTCAGCTCTTATAAAAGTAAATGTACAAATATAGAATAGCATTTTCTGTCAATATTATATGAAAGGTAGTAATGGTTGGCTTGAAGTAGAACACATGAGGTTTGAAAAATATTTTCTTTATAAAAAAAGTAACAAACAATGAAAAATAAATGAAATGTACATATAAACAAATGAAAAGGAGCTTGCTTGGAGGAGGTGCGGTGGAAGAGGAAAGGGACACATGTCTGTTTCCTCCCCTGCAAAAGGTGTCACCTTAGGTAAAAAAAACTGTACTGGCCAATGGTTCCAAATTAAGCAGAACGGTGCTGCTTTCATATAAAAGTTGGTACATTTTGAATTTCACAAATTCTTTTGACTCTGGTGCCACCCTTTGCAGGAGAGGAAAGAGAGAGAGCAGGAACTGATGGTCTTCTGTGTAGTCGGGCGGTCCGGCTGCTTTGGTCCGTAGAGTCTCCAGCAGCTCCCGCTCCCACTCTGAAGGCCCACCAAGGAAGAGGGCTCGGAAGAGGCCCACGTCCGTAGAGCCGCCAACAAAGAACACAGGGCAATCACAGTGTTAAAAAGTGGAACATGTATTTCAAAAAAGCAAAATGAAGAGAGCAAATAATATCTGTATTAAAGCCAGAGTGTGTAGACATAGTTAAACACATGTAAAACACTTTTAAGTTGTGTGTTTGTTACAATTAACTTGAACATTGCAGTTATCAATGAAATTACTCACACATGCACAAATTTCGACAGTTACAAACTAATATCTCTGAAGTGTATTTCGCAATGAAATTTGAAATTGGCTGTAAAAAAGTAATACTCTATTGTCTGCATTAAACAGGATAGCTGCCATCTTGTGGCAACCATTGCATGTATTTGTTCAGTACTTTTATAGCATAAGGTATTTCAGTAGTATGTTTTTATCAAAGAAAGAGGGAAGATGTGTTGTATCAGACCAAAGCTTCTTTCCACCTGTAGTGCCTTGACATCTTGTCGTTTCTCTGTAAATTTGTCGTCTACACTGATGTAACAGCCCTTGGGTAATTTTGGCATATTATGCAGTAACATTTTGTTTATATGAACAGTCCTGTAATAAGAATAAAAATAAAACAATGATTAAAAAAAGCCACACCTGTAGGTGCAGAAGCAGGGGAAGGTCCAGCCCTCACAGAAGAAGAACCGGCTGAGGAAGCAGCAGCAGCAGCAGCAGCAGGCAGCTCAGGCCAAGATGTCTCACCTTGTGTGGTGGTGGCAGTATCTGTGCCAGAAGAAAACAAGAAATACAATTATTTCATATCATGTGTACATTGCGCTTATGACATTTATATGTACATAATAATGTACATTATTATGTACATTTAAATGATTTGTTCATATAAAAGGGAAAAGTGAAATTTAACACAACACATGATCAAGATCTATCCTGGTTTGAAAATAGCCAATGCCTATTTTCACCTGGCCATGATGTTAAGAAAGCATTAAAAGAAATGCATACACAGAAAGCAATATAAATGTAAAAGTCAGCAAAATGTGGGTAATAGAAAGGAAAGAAATGTATTTTTTCCAACTGTTCGAGGTCTCCGTTTGCTGCATGACACCGACCTTCAGCACCTCATATGTGTCCCTCAGATTCTTCCACCGCTTTTTGCAAACTTCCACTGAATAAACACATCAACTCGTAAGCAGGAAAGTAGTAGTTTTTTTCGCGGGGAAATATTTACAACATTGAAAAGTTAAAATAACTTACCCGAGACACCAACCACCTCGCTAACCCTCCTCCAAGCAAGCTCCTTTTTATTTCGGTCCCGGTAGCTGATGTCCGCAGTGTTATATAGCTCAGAATGAGCACCGACCTGAGCAATTGACGTGTCCTCCATAGCTGTCATCTACCAGTGTTTTTCCGGTAGTGAAATGCGTCACTACGTCACTGGAGGAGAAAGCTCCTGATTGGTCGGCACACGCGAATTCTCCCAAAAAGTTCAACATTGTTCAACTCTAGCGGCGGCCGCGTTGGAGGCACGAATCGCGCGAAACGCGCGTCAAAACGCTTGACATCTCAAAACACGCCGCGCAAATCGCGCGAAACGCTCGAATTCGCGCCGCTCTGGCCGCGCGAATCGCGCCGCGTGATCTCTCGCCGCTCCTTGGCGCGCGTCCCCCATGTTGTGTCAATGTAGACCCGTCGCGTTTGGTCTGAACGCACCATTACGCTGCCTGTGAACCTCCGTAGCGACATCAGCAAACAACTTCACACGCTGGTTCTTATAGAAGATATCCTTCTTTGTTTTGGCAGCTCTTAGTACGATTTCTTTCTGCTTGTAGTTAAGAAATCTCATGATTACCGTTCTAGGTGAGGTATCGGTGACTCTCTTTGCCCCGATGCGGTGAGCCCTCTCCAGGATTAAAGGGTGACGCATTGGGTTTAGCTCCAGCGCGTCTGGCAACCAGCTCTCCAAAAAACCGCACATGTCAGAGTCCTCAGAATTTTCAGGGAGACCCACCAGCCTCAGATTATTCAAACGCGATCTTGTTTCCATATCAACCACTTTGTCCTCAAGGTGTTTATTTCTTGTCTGTAAGCTTTCGACCACTGCTTTCAAGTCGACCTGCTCGTCTTCCACGTTAGACAGACGCACCTCTGCCTCAGCCATCCGCTCTGTACATTGAGTCACCTCCTTTCTTGTTTCTTCTATAGCTTTAAGCACACCATCAAATCTTCCGGTGAACTCGGTTTTCAAATTGCGTATCTCTCCCAATATCTCATCTTTAGCCATACTTAGGAGCCGTTGGTCTTTGCTGGGTGGAATCAGCGCATCATTGCTCACATCATCCTCGTTAGCTTCTGTGCTAGCAGCGTTAGCGTCCTCCGTAACGTTAGCTTCCCTGCTAGCTGGCTGCTCTATGCCATGCGCTCCAAAGCCAGTTAACCTAGATTGCTTGGCTGATTTAGGCTTATCTTTACTCCCTCTTCCAGTGCCAGGCATTTCTGCGTCAATTCCACAGTTTCGGAGAGTTTTTGACTCAAGTATAAGGATTAGACAAGATTGTTGTAGAGAGCAGGCTCGAACGTGACCTTCTAGCTTGCGGCCATACCAGGAAGTCGCGTTACTTTCTTTTACTAAGAACTGCTCCTCACCAATATCACCCAAAGGAGACATATTATGGAAGGAAGCACAAGGAAGCAAAAACACACAGCAAGCTCTTTGTGATTGGGGCGGATGTCAGAGGTCGGAGTAAGGCAAGGCAAGTTTATTTATATAGCACAATTCATACACAAGGCAATTCAAAGTGCTGAACAAAACAAGAAAGCATTAAAATCATAAATAATCACAGAACATTAAAAAGAAAGATAAAAATATAAAATCTCTCAGTTGTATGCACAGCTAAACAGAACTGTCTTTAACCTAGTTTTACAGTTTACTCCATCAGCTGTTGGTCAAGTGTTACATTAGAACATGTGGACAAAAAATATTTTTAAATTTCTCTGTCAAAATCTAACAGCGGATCAGGTTAATTTCTTATTTGTGGTGTGAGAAAATATTTGAATGTGAGGAGCAGATAGACCAGCATACCCACCCCACCATTGATCAGACAAAATGTATCCAAATCCTCACTATTGGTTCAACTACTACCCTCCAGACACTCTTACTGCCGGTGGTGATTTGCATTCTTTTGAACATGAATTCCAAATACAAATAAAGTTATGGCTCCTAAATGATGCTTTGTTTACAACTGTTTGGCTTTAGACGACCAGAAGCACAAGAAGTCCCTGAGGCAGAAGCTGGACTCATTATCCAAAGAGAAAAACAAAGATAAAGGTAACACACACTTTTGAAGTTTAATGGTACTTTTATTTTGTCATCAGTTTCATTTCACATCACATTTTCTTTTTTGATGTCTGATGTTCAAAGGATGTTTGACATACTTCCGTTTTGTACTTTTCCTGACACTTTTAGATTTTTGCGAGACTCCTTCCCACTTCCAGTCTGCAGCCCTGGTCCACCTTCTAACACTTGAAAGACACTTTGATCCTTTTGGCTAAGGCGCTATAAAATCACCAAAGCAGACATTCTCCACATTTTCGCCCCATGGCACTTACATCTGTACAGTGAAAGATGTCTCAGAGGAGCTCAGAGCTGCCGTGCCTACTGCATTATTGTTCAGGAAAGTGATGTTTCTGTCAGGCAGGCTGCAGCCGGGGGGAATAACCAAAACAATCTTAAGTGGTGGTTCATTCATTAGCGACCGCTCCTCTCCCTCGACCAGCCCTCTCTTTCCTCTTGTTTACAAAATATCTTCTAAAACTATGTGCTCTCCCCACTCTGAGCTGTACAATGCAAAATCCCTAGGCCAAAACCTTTTACTTATGTATAATGCTAGGGTTGGGGTTACTTAAAGCTTTTTTTGTCTTATAATTAATACATTTTCTTTGACTCAAAAGAAAGAGTCTTGTAAAAGTAAATATCAGACCACAAACTACTGTCTTAATCTTATTAAAAACCATGTTATAGTTTGCATTCTTGTAAGACAGAGCCATGGGAGTCACTATTTGACGGCTGGCTGGCTGGGTGACAATGGTCCTCTCTTTTTCAGGATTCTGTCTGAAAAAATCTGATCCAAAGATGTGACAGAAGCCAAAAATAGATGCATGTGAAACTTAGTGATATTACTGTTTTAAGAGAGATGAAAAGTTATGGACATTACATTTTTGTGAACATAAATTTTGTATGTCCTTAAGCTTTAAATTATGCATAAATGATAGTGTAAAATTAGCTCTGTTATTTTGTTCGTGAGTTTACAAGCACATTTATATTGATCAAGCTTCTTTTCTTTCTTTTTTTCACTCAACATTTTCTCCCATAAATGAGTCTTGGTGTGAACCCTGTTTTGTCCTTTTTTAGTATTACATTTTTTTCCTGTTAATCCACCTTTTATCTCCTGACCTGGCTTACATCAAAAACTAATGCAGACTTGTGTAATACAGTTGGCGCCTTGCATCGCTATATACAGAGCTACTTGTAAAAAAATGCATGTATGCAAGTCAGAGAATCTACAGCAGTCTTTATAGCCTCTGGTCAAAACATTGCATATTAGGTTTTACATTCTAATATGTATTCAACAAGCCTCGGAGGATCCCCAGCACAGAGCGATCTTTAACAGAGCAATCTTTAAGCTTGTGATCCCCTTCTTGCTTTCACAGAGACGCCACCTCAAGCCTTCGGCATCCCACTGTCCCAGGTCATAGCCAACGACCGTATGCACAAGCAGCGGCCCGACCTCCTGAGGCCTGAGCACAGCGACCCCAGCGAGTTGATGCTCTCCTTCCTCCACCTCACGTCCAGCTTCAAAAGGACAAACAAAGATTTTTCCAGCAGCAACTCGTCTCTGAGCTCCACGTGCGAGACCCCAAATGAGTCTCCTCTGCAGGGCACGCCTGACCCGGCTCCCAGGACACGCAGGAGGGTAAAGGCCACCCCCGTCAAACATACACACACACACACATACACACACACACACACACACGCACTCTGTCGGAATACACTTTACACACACATTCAACTCTTTGGCGATGTTCACTCGAAATATGTAATGGCCTATGATTATTGTGGGCAAAGTTGTGTAAAACCTGCTTTGCTTGTTAAATTGTGTTATTACCATGAAACTGGTGCCAAACATATTGACAGCTAAATTGTATCTACAAACAGAGTTAGAGGACTTGCAAAACAAGGCCAAATGTTTTTCTTTCCTAAATAACATCACAAAAAAAGCAGAGGGAAATGCTGTGTTTTTTGGCCTTAACTTGCTAAGTTAGACCTACCCTATTGAAAGCTAGTTTTCTTGGGAAAACAACCACATCAATCTATGAATATAAAAAAAGAAAGTCAGACTACAATATTCAGCCAACTATTCCTTTAGTGTCAATTGAGCAAGTTTTGTATTTTAAAGCAGTAGTTTAAAGTCAAATTTGGATCGCATTTTCAGTAGATTTAGACGTTTTTTTTTTCTTTACTAAGGTAATTATCTACCTGCGTTGTGGGTAACTTTACCTCTGGTCCAGTTCTGTTTTAATCTCAGCATAAATATATAAATTTTGTTTATTAAAAAAAACAACCTACCAAACAATAATATCTAAATCCATATTCACTCAATTATTTTCAAGTAAGTAAAATAAACCCTCATAAAACCCATATCACACAATCGCTAAATCTCTAAATCACTAATTGAAATTTACACAGCTTTTTCAACTGAACTGTTACTAAATATTAAGACCTGGTGTAACTGAGGATCAAAATCTTCTTTCTAATAATATTTTTCAGACATAGCCTCAAGACACATGTCATTTGAATACCAATATTTTTGTTTGCTCTGACCGAACCCCCACACAAAACAGTGGGGGATGCATCTGATTACATTTGCACTTTTGATGTCTTGGTGACCTTTTCAAATATTCTCTCAGTGTGTTCGAGTCTCCAGCTGTGTTGTCATTCACTGTTTTGCGGTCACCCCTCTCCTGACAGGGTGGCGTGTCTGTTGATTGCATCACCGACCTTGACGATAGCCAGTCCCGTCTTCTGGAGGCCCTACAGCTGTCTCTGCCCGTGGAGAGGAAGAAACGGCAGGACAAAAAGCTCAGCCTCAACCCCATTTACAGACAGGTGCCCCGAGTCGTTGATCTCTGCTGCCAACACTTGGAAAAAGAAGGTAGACTTTTGACTTTGATGGTTTAAAAGGACTGTGCTTTTCGAAACATTTTTCTTCAACTTTGCTCGTTCAACTTTTCTCAATCTCTGCTTTGTAGGCCTCCAGACTGTGGGTGTATTCCGTGTGGGAAGTTCAAAGAAAAGAGTAAGGCAGGTATGTTTCAAGGACAATTTGGAAAGCAAAATGGTTCATTCTCAACTGCAGGCCACTATTGATTGTTTGGTCTGTTCTGGTTTTATTTCCCCCCAGCTTCGTGAGGACTTTGATCAAGGATGGGAGGTCAATTTAGATGAGGAGCACAGTGTCCATGATGTTGCTGCGCTGCTAAAAGAATTTCTCAGGGACTTGCCAGACCCGCTTTTGACAAGAGAGCTCTACACGGCCTTTATCCATACAATGAGTGAGTGATATTCATACAAAACACATGCATATGTTCAGGCGTTTTTACAGTAATTGAATCGTCTTTTTTTTGTCCACAGTGCTGGATTTGTCAGACCAAGACAGAATCATTCAGCTCTTGCTCTTTCTTCTCCCACCTTGCAACAGTGACACATTGCAGCGGCTGCTTTGTTTGTTGTCAACTGTGACTAAACATTCAAAAGACGCCGTGGACAAAGAAGGCCACGAGGTAATGCCATAGTAATGTGTGACACTGGCATTTCACTATTGTCGAAAATACTGCTCTGTACATAAACCACAGACATATGACAACTGTGCATGATATACAGTATATAGTCCCTTTCACAAATCACAATACATTTTCTGTCACTAGTTTTTACATTCACATATTTTTGGTCTCAGTCATACTTTAGATCAGTTTGAGTTCAAGTGAAAAATTGAAGACCGCCCTCAGCTTTCAGCCCAAAGTATCAAATAGTGACTATGCAAAGTATGCAAAAGATAAACTGGTTTCTAATAATAATACGAAAGCATGTTGTGGTCTATTTTGTTCAAACCACCACATTTAACACGATTTAAGACACCCTTTTTTGTCCAACAGTGGAGAAATTTCAGTACGCAATGGATAAAGTTAGGTACCCAAGCTTTAATGCTGTTGTTGGCTTATAACTCTGGTATTCCTCTTGTAATTTAGTGTGATTATATTCCCAGCCATTGCATCTCTGACATGTCCTCTTTGTGGGACAAAACCAATATTATAGTAAAATACACATTAAGTCAAACTAGTCCCTTTTCCCCCTCAAAATGTTTGAGGGGGAAAAGATTAATAATAAAAGTTAAGCCAAACATATTCCGGGGTTATACTTTATTAATAAAAACGATGCTTTGTTCTGTGCTTCCTAATGCAATCTGCGGTGGTACACAATGCCACTCCAAGCTTTTAAATCAATAGAGGCAAAGTTCAATATGTCTTTCATATTATCTGTTAAACTTTAAACATCCCCATAACCCAACATAATGGTTTCCCACGGATATGAGCAAAGTTTCTTCCTTGGCCCAAGTCCACAGCACCAAGGCACACAGAGTCTCTGAACACTTAGGACTGCAGCTGGTTTTATTGATAGTGGCAGATACTTGTTAGGCACACATTCCCCGTGCAATAAGCAGCTCGTCTTTCACAAACCTCTCCGAATGTTATTGTAACCTTCTGTGCCATTCTACTTAATCGTGTTGAATAGAAAGCGAACGACAATTCAGATCAATTATCTTTTCTCTTCTCGCAAATTAGTTCCCACACCAGGCACAAACAAAGATAATCGCCATTGTCTTAATAAATGAGTCCGTTCTGTGCTTTGTCTAGGTGACAGGAAACAAGATGACGTCGCTGAATTTAGCCACCATCTTTGGACCAAACCTGTTACATAAACTCAAGTGCTCGGACAAGGAGTTTGTGGTGGAGAGTTTGGCGCGTGTGGAGGAGAGCACGGCCATCATCAGCCTGGTGCAGAGGATGATTGATACTTATGACACACTGTTTATGGTGAGATATGTTCCATGTTTTTAAATGTGTCGACATGGTGGCTTGCAAAAGTACTAATACAACTTGAAAGACTCAGACAAAGTAGCAGACAACTGTGAAGTGAAATCCAAATTATATCTATAATATTTTATCTATAAAGAATTCTTACAACTTGAGTTAATACCTCCTTATGTTACCTCCTTAAAAGCAGCAAAGCTTTTGGGTTGTGACTCTGCAAGCTTTGCACGTCGAGAGACTGAACGTTTTGCCCATTTATCTTTATAAAACCGTTCTGTCGGATTAGATGGAGAGCATATGTGAACAGCAGTTTTCAAGTTTTTGCACAGACTTTCTGTGTGAAGTTTGCATGTTCTCTCTGTGTTTAAGAAAGTAAGAAGTAAGAATTAAGTTTATTTATATAGCATCTTTCACAGACCAGGATCACAAAGCGCTTCACAATTTAAACATACAGCAAAAATAGTAGGCATACAAGTCAGTTCCAAAAAACAAAAATACAGAATAATCACATCAAAACACTTCCTCCAGGATCTTTGTTTTCCCCTACCACTAAAAACATGTACAATAGTTTGGGCGACCCTGTTTCTATCACTGCGTGGAGTGAAAGGAATAATGCCCACAACAATTGTAAAGCGCTTTGTGATTCTCAATCTATGAAAGGCACAACATAAATAAAGATTACTTACTTATTTACTACATGGCTTTATCTTTAGGGTCATTGTCTAAAAATGTCCTTGTATTTGGATATTCTTGTCATTTTGTACAATCTTCCCTGTTCCTGCTGCGGAAGAGCAGTCCCATAGCATGATGCTCCCCCCCCCCCATATGTAACTCTGGGTAAAGGTAAAGGGGCTCTTTATATATCCCCGTAGGACAATTCATCCTCTGCATTTGACCCATCCTGATGCCGCTAGGGCCTCTATCAGGAACCCATCTCCAAATGTTGATGCTCGGCTTGGTCAGGACTACTGGTACGCGAGGAATTTGACCTTTTGTACATGTTTTTAGTGGTAGGAGAAACCGGAGCATCTGGAGAAAACCTACACAGGCAAAAGGGGGGAGCATGCAAATTCTGCTCAGAAAGACCCTGTTATTGTCTTAAAACTAGGCAATTAAACACATCTGAACCTAAGTTTAAAAGTTAGTCAACTATCTCCACAATATATGCATTCTGTTTATATTCTCGCTGTAGGAACAGGTTTGTAGGTGTTTTGTCTGGGGTTAACAAAGTGGAAATATCTAATGAAATGTGAAATTAGCTTCATAGGCCGTAACTACTGAGCTTATAGAAACTCATATAAAAGATTAAAAAAAAAAAGTGAACCCAAGACTGCGTCCAATTCACTGACACGCCAACCATTTAACCTTTAATTCAGAAAACTGACCACGTAGCGAAGTCCCCATAAAAGTCCAGACTGAATTCAAACACAATTAGTTCATGAGCAGTGATCGTGTGGAAGGTCAGTCTCCTCATCTTCCTTGCGCTCGGTGTCGTCAAATAGAAACTTAAGTGTAAGCACGTTTTATTAGACCCTTTGAAAATCTTCATTAACAATGCCAAAAGGCAGAAAGCCCATTAGAGCTTCTCTCTGCATCATTAGTGCTGATGTCTAAGTGCCGTTAAATCCTTACTATGTTGTTTACTGCTTATATTCCAACGGGAGGGTTTAAATTTGAAAAGGCTATTGTTCAAGTTGTTTTATGTGCTTTTTATGCCTTACTTGATGCCCTTCACTCAAGTTTATTCTAAATAGTAGATGTTAAACACAATTAAAAGTATTGTTGTTATGAATGTTAACTGCAGCTTTATACCAATTGTTTATAGTAATTCCTCACAGAGTAGCGGAGAAACAGAACTTTGTGACAATAATCCAATGGCTATGGACAATTGGCTCTGGCTGGTAATCCACACTTGACTCTACTGTTTGAAAAAGATGTACAAAAATGTAAAATATATGCATGCACAGCTAGCAACTCTGTACACCTAAATAATTGAGATTACTTAAGCGGCGCATATCACAAATCCATGGACACATTAACGTTATATAAAAGGTATTTGGTGACGCATATTATAACCTCTAGAGGAATGTAATCACCAGGATTTGTCTGTTTTTTAGATATTTAGCAACATAATGAAGTTAATGTTAGATTTAAAAAGAAAAACAGGAACTTTCAGAAAAAAGGCGAGGAACATATATCTTTTTTAATTTTGACGTGACTCGGAATGGAAGAGTGCCTCTTGGTGTAGGTCTGCACTCTACTACAGTAGTGTCTTTCCAGTCCAGCATTTTAGCACTTTCTACCTTTTCTAGCCAAACAAACTTTTGAAATTTTATAGGAGTAGTTGCTTTTTATCTACTATGTAGCGCTGCCAAATTTGTTGCCCAGAATAGGCAGACTAAATTGGTTCCAATAAGACTGTTTCACTCTTTACTTCAGGCTTTCGGGGAGTCATATAATTTTACAACTCCTACTAAATTCTCTACCGTGCACCTGAAAAAAAATCTATTTTTTCAAGAACTGAAAGTAAACACTACTGGGGGCACCTGTCTGTAAATGGAACAGAATATATACATATTCAATACCATCCTTCCTCTGTCCTTCCAGGTCACAGCCGACCTGCAGAATGAAGTGCTGAAAAGTTTGCTTGAAACTGATCGTGATGTTGTCGATTACCTTCTGAGGAGGAAAGCCTCCCACATTTCGTAAGGTTTTACAATTGTGACAAATTGCATACTATATTTTATCCAGCATTTTTGACTCAATTGCTCTTGTTTCTTTATAGAAATGCGGATCTCATTAGAGCAGAAGAACACTTGCGTCTGACAAGCAGGTGCTTATCCAGTGACTCTATCAAAGCGTCGAGTGGAGAAGTGTCTCCTTATGACAACAACTCTCCGATTTTCTCCAGTCACCTGATGTGTGACTATCCTACTGACAGCAGCTCACTGTCATCCAAGCCCACACTCCATTCTTCAAGCAACAGTTCTCCCACTCTTTCAAACCACAAGCTAGGTACAATAACAATTTACTTCTCAAATATTTTACAAAATCTATTAAAAATAATCCCTCTGAAAGTCTCATACACATGCCGAGTTTTTAACTGATTTATGACATCACATAATATATAATGCAAAATATATAACTCAGTCAGTATTATTTCTTGTGATTTTGGTGTTCTCAGAGAAATACAAAAAATATATTACCGGTAATTTTGCCATGGTGAACTGTTTATTTTCATATATCCACTTTCAATTTCAAGCTTTCGCTATGTCTACTTGTGGCACCATCTGCATGTGAAAGCCAGAACCCATTATACCTCTGAAGCTGGAGCGGCTGTAAAGTGCCAAACTGTTGTTGTGTCAACTGTGGCTACAGTAGTACAGTAGGTTATCACCACAGTGTATGGAGTAAATGAATAATGACATGTGAAGGGTCTTTGAGTGTTTTATATAAACTGATGCATTACTGACCCCTATTAACCCTAACCCCTGCTAACTATGATCTATAGTATAACGTACTAGTTGTTTATCATTTAACCTAACTCTTCCTATAGTCACTCAAGACCCTTTCTGGGATGACTGGCATGACTTGTTCCACCTGGACTTCAGAGGTCATTGCGTCGCTGGTGAGTGCGTGTGCAGCCGCTGCAGATGTTCTTGGGATGTGTAATGAATACCGGACTTTAATTAGTGCTTTCTCCCAGGCTCTGCTGGAGACACGTCGGAATGTGAGTCGTATGGATCATCCGAGGGGCTGAGCAGTCACCAAGGTAACAACAAGCAGCCCGTCCCCACAACAAAAAGCTTATTGGGTGGGCTGGAATTCAAGCCACACCTCCCAGTGACTCGAAGCAGCAGCGGGCCTCAAGACCACAGAGGACAGAGACAAACAGAATCTCTATTACATCAAGGGGAAAGCGACCAATCAGCAGCTCTCAGCTCAGAAAACCTGGCAGAAAGGACAGGGCACTCAGCGGGGCCATTTTTTAAGGTCAGGACAGATGGCCACTCTCCTCTTTATCACTGTGGAGGGCTGAGAGAGAGACACATTTCTCACTCCACACCTTCACTTGTTAAATATCAGCCACAAGGTCTTGACTTTCAAAGCCAGAAATTGTCCCAGCAGAGGACAGACGCACAGACTGCACCCACTGCCCATGTGCCAGAGCCAGAGCCAGAGTCGGGAGCAGCCGACCCCACTGCACTAGAATGGAACTCTGAGCGGTGGCATATATGGAAAATAATGTCCAAGGACAATGCAGACGCTCTGCCAGAAACTCTGGTGTGACATACCTGTCACCCTTTGACAGAGACATATACAAGTATTTTACTATGAAGATGCATCATTGTAGTCAGTCCATGCAAGTCCGTAATCAGTGAATGTGTTATGCCAATGTAATATAAGTTTGTATATTTAAAACTGTAAAGCTATATGATGGTGAATGTACTAAATGTTAACATGATTCTAAATGTATTTTTATACTTTCACAATCACTCACTGTGTATTCCGTCATGTAAGTAGCTCTATATTACTATTCTATATTTGTAATATCTATGCATTGCTGTATCTGAACACTATATAAGTATTTTGTAATTTATTCAGGGATTGTATTTCTACATTTCATGCTTCACTTCTTTTTGTATCTAAATGTTTTAAATCGTAAAAAAACATGTTTTGTTCTGACTGTTTCTTTTATTAAAATTGTCTTGCCCTTACCGTGATATGTTAAAATCACTGTTCCCTACAACAATGCACAAATACAAGAAAGCACGTATAACAGCATAGAGAAAGAATCATCAATCATTATCTATCTATAAGAGATCCATGATAAGTAATGCACTAAATGTGTAGATGCAGTACCCGGACTCACCACTAGATGCCAATGTAAGACCATCAGAGGAAGCCAGACAGCCACGTGCACTTGGAGACCACTTGGAGGATACACAGCACTCAGAAGATGCCTACGACTTGGTTTCTGAACAAAATATCTCTTTTTACATATTTTTTATTTTTGTATTTTAAGTGTATTATCAATATTAAATGCGATTTGGAGAAAAAAAAAATACTACGCAATCGAGTCAACAGGTTTTTTCCTCTGTGCGGTGATAAGGTACGTACACGTCTGAGCTGATTGCATTTCTATCTAGTGTCATTGACGTACACACTCATGCTAATTAGTGTTATTAACAATTTGCTCAATCAACGGGGGATTTCAGACCCAGATTTTCGCTTCTAGGTCAAGTCTGTGTTTCTGCTGCTGTTTTGGTCCATCTCCATTTGGGCTATAGATGCTCGCTGCTTCTCAGACGAACCCAAAGCGACAGAACAAGACGCCTGGACGTGTTTATTACAGAGAACTAATGTCTCAGTCCCACTCTTCAACTCCTTTCTGAGTTTTATTACAAAGGACAGACTTCCTACGGTCCCCTTCTCTCCAAAAGCTGCGAACAGAGCCAGGAGTGAAGTGGCAGTGGGCCTTTCTGGAGTTACACGCTCTCCTAAAAAGGAGATCAACATCAAATATTTAATTTCACATCTTATCTTCGCAGAGCTGTGATGGCTGTGAGCTGATCCGTTGGCAGAGAGTTCTCAGCAGGGGGCCATCTCGTCTGCCTTTGCTCTCTGCCATCAAGAGGCGCCCCAGGGAGGACAGAGCAAGGTCACAAGCCAAAAAGAGACTCCAAAGTCCGGTTACTAGAGAGGCCTGGCCTGGCTGCGTCAAGGTCGAGATGGATGGGTGAATCTCAGCAGGACCAAAATAGCCTCTGGTCAAACTCATTAAGGTTATTGTTGTAATATGCACACTGACTGAATGTATTAGAAATTATAACTAGGTCCTGATTGGAGTGTGATAACCTTAATACAAAAAAACAGGGATTTTGTTTTTCTCTGGCAAACCTTGCTATAGTTAATCATGCATATTTAATTGTTGCCATGAGCGTGAGGGTTTTATTTTACTCCACAATTTATGAAGCCATTTGGGCAGTCTGTCACAAATGGGCATTTTCTGAGGAGTCCTCTGAGATGTTGATCAGGAGGAGTGTGGCTGGGGAATTGGTCTAATATAACTCAGACACAGAGAACATGCACAAAAGTATGAACTTCGCACACCTGGGAATAGCAAGTGTTGTAAGTGATCCAAAGTTAATTGCTCTAGACTTAGGAGTATGAGCTTCTTGCTTGTCTATAGACTTTTACAGTTACTTTGCTAGGATTCATTGAAAGGACTAATAAACTAACCCTAACAATACATGTACAATGAAAACCATAAAATCCATAAAGATACAAAGATGGTAAAGCATCCACACACAATACATACATAATGCACTTTTTTACAAAACGGTTCTGTATATCCAGTACATGCTAATCTCTTAAATATTGTAATCACATGATGCTCAAAATATTTCTTTACTTCAGATTATTATTACCTTTTGAACAGTTTTCTACTAATGAAAGTGGTATTGACCTATGCACTATCAATTTATGTAATTTATATTTCAGCACACAATCTTCTAATGAAACATGGAGGTCATATTTTATTTTAAGCACTAACTTTTAAAATCTGTCATTCAATCTCCCTGCATTGAATCGCATTGTTTTCAAGTCCTCTCTTTTAACCAGCATGGTGAAAAAAACCTCAGCCATCGCATTTCTCTTTCAGACTGCTGCTGTCTGCTCACTTGTGGACCTCTGAGTCTTTGCTTCTCCACCTACAGCGAGGTAATTATATCCAGCACTGTCACTGGACTGGACAAAAACAGTACTTCCTCTAGATACTGAAAACCCCAAACTTTTAAATTCTCTCTTTTAACTATTGGGATTCAGACTGAGTACTGGTCGGAATGTAAGATCAGCTTAGGTCAGCTCGTCAAGTGGGTGGGATGGGAAATTAATGAGTTACTGAGAGTGCTGTAAACTTCACAGTCAAAAAGCACTTAAAAGTTGCCCTGTGGTAAGCGTATCTGAAAGAACCTTGCCTTACCTTAAGCTTAATAATCAGCTCTTGTTCATCTTTTATAACAGTGATTAAATTAGTCAAATTATGATTTTTTTCTCAATGCTCAGCCAAGTCCTTAGAAAGTGAGGTTGACAGTGTGCTGTAGGCTGGGATGGTTTAAAGTCGATAGATTTCCCCAGAGTGCAGTGACTGGAGCAGACAGGAGCTCCCCAGACACCCATAAGACACATGAATCTTCTAAAATGGCATTCATACTTTATCCGTTAGAAACTAGAAGAAGCAGCCCCAAAATCTCAACTAGATATTTGTAAATAAGCGTCACACCAATTGTAAGTTTTATTTTTTTGAAAGTGCTCGTACGACCTCGGCTCCGGCAAGAAGTGCAATTCCATTCCTCACAAAATACGTAAACCAGGCGTTGAAGTGGATCATATAGTTATTTCAATCTGGAGAGATTCAAACAGACAAAACATGGATATTATTAGAATTGTATATAGGTTGGCAAGTACAGAAATGTGGTTAAGATTTGGCGCTTAGATCTTGGGCAGAGCACTGCAGCACAAAGGAGGAACGAGATTATGAGATGAAATTTCCTGGGCCTAGACCCTGGTGGTGGTAGCTAGGAGAAGGATGAAAGAGCTGGCCCAGAATGAGGCAGAGATGGGGAGGAGGAGGGTTGCAGCGTGAATGAAGCCTCTGCTTGGATGGAGCTTCGTCGCAATATGAAGCTTGATGTGGGGCAGTGCCTGATTGCTACCAGGTGAGGATTGCTGTATGGTGCTGGAGAGGGGGGGCAAGGCAAGGCAAGTTTATTTGTATAGCACAATTCAATTCCTGTTTTCCAGTATGAATTTCAGTAACTGCAGGATCTATGCGTCCATGTGTTTGGTTTGTAAACGCAGTCCATGCGTCCGCCTCGTGTAAAGCACTGCCATGAAAGCTTCAAGTTTGATTTTAAAAGCCCATAGTCCCTCTAGGTTGCATGGAGCTGTTGCAACGCTAACATTACACTTTTCTGTCCTTCAATCTATGGCTTACAAAGGTCCTGCTTTCAGACAGTGATCCTGATCCTGATTAGTTGTCCATTGTGCCATTGTGAAGGTATTATAAAAATACTTCTCCCCTCTAGTGGGTAAGCGGAGGTAATGATAGTAATAGTTGTTTCATGAAGTGTAGAAACAACATTTTATTTTTAAATACCACTATATATTCTACAGTTTATTTGGATACATTTGTTTCATGACATAACTTTATTTGCACAGTACACACTGTGATTAATATATTGTTATCACATTTGTCACCAAAATAAAGTTAATTGTTCAGGAATAAATCCCAGCAATGTGTTCCCATGAAGAGGATATGCTTACAATGGATTCTATAAACTGTAATAAAAAGAATGAGTTGAGGAGGGTGTAAGGACAGTGATAATCTGAGACATTGGTCATCTGCCCTCTATGGACCAATGGCTCCAATGTGTTTGTTTTTGTAGTATTTCCTTTGTTCATACTGTTGGATTCTCTGATATGTTGTTTGGTGAACAGACAATTTTGTAGATTCCGCCAAGAAAACTGCTGTTGTGATATATAGCTGTACAAAAAAAATCATTTGGATAATATTTGGTTTTGCACTTGGTTTGAATGTAGTGATGTTATGGCTGGAAGCAAAAGGTCCAGTGGATTTGTATTTACTGGTCAGTATAGCCCAGAATCTCAAAAAGTTTCAGACTTCCTAAGCAACGCTGGAAGTTATGTAAAATGTTTTAGATCTAGTAATTTGTCAATGCCAACTAAAAACAACATTCTCGACAAATGTAACAACATTGAGAGATGATAAATAGCATTTGGGATGTCACAGAAGGTGAAATCGTCAGAAGAGGTCGCTTGGATAAATTGTTTTGTCAGACTTTGGTACATGCTTCTCATTTACAATTACATTTGAATAGGGAATTGGTCTTCTGTGGACTTTCTTCTCACAACAAGGCGGCCGTACCTCATGCCTTTCTTGTTGCATTTGTTGTCAAAATGTGCTCTACTGGAGAGAATGGCACTCATCGACTTAATGTGGAGTAATTGTGCTGATGGCGCTGTCATTACGATCCTTAACCAAGCCTAAAAAGCATTCACTGCAGAGTTGAGCAATCTTATAGCTCTCAAATATGACTCAACAGCAGCACACCAGTTAATTATAGTGCCTCTAATTGTCCTGTAATATTGTAATAAAAAAAAGAGATAATTACGTTTGCAGTCATTCTGATGTTCTCGTAGTGTAAGACAAATGGTGCTGTAATGTGTTTGAAATGTCACGTTTTAGTTTTTTGCTCTGTGAATGTGTTGCCAATTGAGCCATTTATCAGAAAGTATTGTTAATATGTGCTGTTTGGTCCAACATGTAGCGACACCTCCTACAAAGAGCTATTTTTCAATGAAATGCAAATCATCATTTTAAAATGGCTTTGCATTATAGTTAGAGCACAGAGAATTTGCTTGTGTATTTTTTTTGGAAATCCTAATTCGTCCAACATGATCTCATCTGTGCAGGTTTAGAATTGCGTTTTTATAGTGACTCATGTCGGGAGATGAATCCTCATTTGGGCGGGGATAGCACTCCCTCGCTAAATAACAATTTTTCTTTCTGGTTGCTCTTTGCCTGCTGGCTACAATGAATCCCGAACCTTATTTTTCTCTGCTCCTCAGCTGATAACTTAATGTAGCTGCTTCTGGCAATGAAGCAAAGCCCTTTATCTATATTAACTGCTGTGTTACAATACATCACAGGCAGATCCAGTTTTCCCGCTCTGTGTCATCCATAGAAACATGAAGCAATGATGAGAAACCCTGTGCACTGAAAGTGCAGTGGCTCCAAGAAGTCTGCCTCTCTTGAGTGGATTCTCGATTTATTTCCTTTGTACGCTTGTTTGAGAGTGACAGGTTACACATGCAACAAGCCACCTAACAAGAGTGGCACCACACACACAGGTAAATGATAGGTGACAATGTTGAACACTTGTTAGACGCCCAGGAGGAAAAGTCTAGAGACACACTTGCACCTTGTATACTCTGCTCACGGTTAGTAACTCGAATAATGTTGCTTGAATGTGATTGACGGCTTGTTGTATGCTTGGTAGGCAACATGTCAACAAACATCAGCTTTGTGCAAGTTGGATTTGTTTTATGGACTTTAATATGGTGTTACTGTGGATGCTCTATTTGTGAATATTCCACACAATTTCAATGGGATTTTTGTATAAACATATTTTAACTCATTGCCTGCCATTGACGTAATTGTCTGAGGCCGGTGATTTCTGTCAAACTTCTCTCTCTTCGACTTGGGATTGCATGAGAACAAAACTAGCAAGAAACAAACATTTTTTTGCTCATGAAAGTAGACAGTCCAGTCTTTCAGAATCTGGTTCCATATTTCACATAGTCACAGCACACAATATTCTGTGGGTCTTGAAAAACAGTGAAATCATCAAAAACGGCTGGCAGTCAATGAGTTAATAATGACGAACATGTTCTATGATTTGTCAATATGGCACTGAATAATAATGGCATAAATTGTATATTAGGAGTGCTGAGATCATCCATAGTGTTAATTAA